TCTGCGGCCGCACAATATTGTGCGGTCCGCACTTCTGTTGAACTTGAGATGCTGGTTCTCTGATATGATTTTCTTCACAATCTGCGACCGTAGATGATAATATGCGGTCCGCACTTTAAGCTTCTCTGTCTGTTTTTGTCCTTGAGTTCAGATCACTCCTTCTTTAGTTGGATTTCATCTTGGGGGCTCATTTTTCAATATTCCTGCAATATTTCATCAGTTTTCGGGAACACAATTAAACGCTTTTGGACTAAAACGAAAGCTAAAAGGCGCTAATAAGTAGTCAAAATCTCCACTTAACAGTCATTGTGCATGTAAAAAAAAAAAGAATTAACCTAAATAGCCGTTCACCCAACCACTTAAATAAAAAATAATCAATGGATGTATAATATATGTACTATTCATATATAATATGTGTACAACCATGTATAATCTATGTAAACAGGTTAGCAAAAGTAAACAAGTAAATCCGGATGGCTATTTGTGTAAGGATTTTTTTTAAAAAAAATTGGGGTTTGAATATCAAGAAAAATTAGGGTTTAACCAATTTTCTTTTACCATTCTCAAAGATATGAATGCATGATAAACAAGAGGTTTGCCTTTCTCTCCTTGATCTCCTGGTTTGTTTGCCTACAAATGGGTAAGTTTACAAATCTAAGCAATAACTTTTTTATAAAAAAATAATTTTTAACAGTGTCAGCAAGTTTTAGAACTTTGATGCATGTGGTCCTAACTAATTTAGCAGTACTTATAACGTGGTACTAAACATTGTCTGCTCCTCAAAGTTACATTGGAATCAACACTAACCTTTGACCATACTGCTTTTGCTATAAATATATAATTCTCCATTAATGAATGGAGAATGCAGAAAAGGGTCTGGAAAGTTTGTTGATCAGTGACTTTGACCAATATTAGAAAATAGTAGTGCAATATTTTAAATATAAAAATATAAACTACTAACACAGTCTATCGGAAATAGCATATCTACCTACATAAGGTACGATAAGCACTAATCTTTCTAGACTTCATTTGTGAAATTACACTGAATTTGTTGTTGTCGTCGTTATATAAATTAAACTACAAAGGTATGTAGTCATTCGAACTAATGATGTTAATTCTTCTGAATCGAGTTTTTTCATTTTCTTGAAAAATAGATAATAATAATAATAATAATTTTAAAAAAAGAAGAAGAAAGAAATGGAAGATTCCACATTTGAATTACTGGACATACATTTGACAATGGGGAAATCTGGGTTTCCACCGACCAAGATAAAAAATTCGTCCACCACGTGAACTCAAGTATGTGCCTAAATTCTCTGAGTAGAGAATGTTATGTTTTCTTTCTTCTTTGAATGTATAAACTATTGTCGGAAACTACTTTTTTTTAATTATTTTTTTAATTACATCAAGGTAGGGAGATACTTATTTATTAATGAATTTTACAGGCAAATTGTCGCTCAATATGTTGAATTGGCAAGTTATCTGATAAAGAAGCTAAGGTACAAGCTGCTTGGGTGATGTTAAATCAAATGCTAAAAAGAGCGAAGGGAAAATCGTGAACTACATTTCATGTAATATAGTACACTATAAGAGAATCAGGGTAGGGACGGTAAATGGAGAAGGGAATGTTAACACAACAGATGAGGTTTAAATTCTCTACTTCAACTGTGGAAGGCAGGAATCTCACCAGGTAAGCTATCCCTCGGGCAACTACTTTGTTGATCCCTTAGCATTATTTCTAACATTTAAAATTAAATCTAGGGTAAAGGAGTTTAATTTGAACCAATAGTGTAAAAAATTTACACGGTCAGATCACCCAAAAAATATCTACAAATGATCTCCAAAAAGTGATTACAGTAATAAGAGTGCCACTAACGAACAGGGGCAAAGCTATGTTGGCCCAAGGAACTGATCACCCTTCGCCGAAAAACTATATTATAAGGTAAAATATTACTTGTTATTGATTAAGAATAAGACGTTGAACACCCTTGCATAACCCATTGGCAAAAGGCGTTCAAAATTTGAACACTCTTATTGAATTCTCTCGTTTCGCCATTGCTAAGGACACTAAAGGTTTTCAAGACTAGCCAAATTAAACCAAAACACTCTCCGATTTTTTAATAAAGAATTGCTCCTAATTGGTTAGTTGGTATAGTGCTATCGACTAACTGTGTTAGCTGGGAGATGAATTATACTACTACTAACATACCCAGTGTAGTTTTACAAATGGGGTCTGGGAGGGTAAAGTGTACGCAGATCTTACCCCTGCTTTTAAGAAGGCAGAGAAGTTGTTTCTGGTAGACCCTCGGATCAGGAAGGGGAGGAGGGGGGGTAATGACAAGCAAATTGATCTGACAACCGAAGCAAAAATACAAAACTAACAGTAGGTAATGCAATCAGAAAATGAAAAACAAAAGATAACAACAAGTAGTTAGAAGTCTAGGGATACGAAAAAACAAAAAAGACATCAAGTGGTGTATCAAAGCTACTGCTACAAACAAGGACAACACTCGGCCACCTAATCTTTTACCTTTATTTTCAACCTCCACACATTCTTATCCATGGTCATGTCCTCAGTGAGCTGGAGCAACCCATATCTTGCATGATCACCTCTCTCCAATACTTATTGGGCTTGCCTCTACATCTCTATTGGCCCTCCCATGCCAGCCGCTCACACCTCCTCACCGGAGCATCAGTGTCTCTCCTCTTCACATGCCCGAACTATCTAAGTTTCGCCTCTCGCATTTTGTCCTCCATAGGGGCCACACCTACCTTGTCCCGGATAACTTCATTTCTAATTTTATCTAATCTGGTATACCCGCACATCCACCTCAACATCCTCATCTCAGCCACCTTCATTTTTTGAACATGAAATTTCTTGACTGGCCAATACGCCGCCCCAATTAAACTACATCACAGTTTAACTTTTTCAGATTCTTCTTTGGCCAAATGATGAGCTATCAAGTTTCCTTCCTTGAAATTAAACTGATTACTAAGAGCCCGTTTGGACATAAAAAAAATTCTTTTTTGTCAAAAAGGTTTTACTTTTTTCGAAATCAGCGTTTGTTCATAAAATTTTCCATTTTCACTTGAAGATGCATTTTGAAAATTTTCGAAAATTTGAAAAACTCCAAAAAACTGTTTTTCAAAATTTTCACTCAAATCACTCACAAAACTTCAAAAACAACCCAAACTGAAATTTATGTCCAAACACAACTCTAAATTTTAAATACCATTTTCACTTGAAAAATTTTTTCACCATTTTTTGAAATTTTACAATTCTTTGTGTCCAAACGCCTACTAAGTTCTCCAACTTGAGCATTAGCGACCGACAATCATAAATAATTAAAACATAAACTTAATCAATTCTCAATAGGATTTTTTCAATTCGTATCACTGATTAAATATGAAGAAAAAAAGAAGAAGAAGGCATCACAGTAGAATATAAATTAACACAGGAAGCAATGGTATATACTTTAGATATCCTTTTACTTAAAAAGCAAAACTTAAGCCAAGTTGCATGTTCGTGTAGGGCCAAATTCAAATACGATTGGCATCTTTACACCACTTTTTTCTTTCTTTTGGCACAAAGAAAAAGGGAATGAGCAACTTCCCCGTTGTGGCACTGCACGAACTTTGTTACTCCGTTTCAATCATAGATAAGATACTTTGACTCTATACGAAGTTTAAGAAAAAAAAAATAGACTTTTGAAATATGTGATCTTAAAAACTTGAGCGTAAAAACTTTGTTTTGTATGGTTATAAATCTTCTAATTAAAGGTAAAATGAGTAAAATGAAGAATTTAAAGTTGAATTATTTTCAATTGGAAAAATGTGTCATTCTTTTTGGAACGGACTAATAATGAAAATGCGTCATCTTAACTGAAACAGAGAAAACTATTGGTATATTGGGAAAAAAGAGAACGGTGTGACCTATTGGATGAGCTAAATTCTAAAACACCGGAGTTCTCGGGTTCGAATCTAGTTTGGGACATTTCTTAAATTTTTATCAACAAGGGTTATGGTGGAGTAGTAAATACTTCTTCATTCATAATTAGAGGTCTCGGGTTCTAACTCTGAATACGAAATCGCCTTTGTTATTTAGTGCTTTACCCCTAATGTGAATTTTCCGACTCAAATTTGGATAATTAGTCGGATCCCACTGCGGATATCAGACACCGGGTGAAAAATAAAAAAAAATCTAATAACCTAGTTGGGCTCCAATAAGAATATCAGGCAATAAATATTAACAATTTTGGATGTCCAGTTGAGAATGGGCTTGAGCTAAGCTCCAATGGAGATTCGATGGAAGCTTCTGGAAGTAACAGTCGTGTGAGGGAGAAGAAATGATGAGAGGAAAAAGAAAGAAATGAGAAAAATATTCTCAATCTATTAATCTTCAATTAGAGTGTATATACAAACTAACAAGGAAAATAATGCAACAATTACATATGGCAACTAACTACCATATAACTGCAACTAACAAATTACCAATTAACAACTAATAATTAACAATCTGTGTCTAAACACTCCCCCCCCCCCCCCCGCCCTCAAGTTGGAAGTGAGGGAAGCACAACCAACATGTTCAACATGGCAGAATTTTTTATGCTTGTCAAGGCCTTGGTCAGGATGTCTGCCAATTGAGCAGTAGCAGTGATATGGTGCAAGGAAATGAGTCCTTCTTGAAGTATATCACGCACGAAGTGACAATCAACATCGATGTGTTTGGTTCGTTCATGAAAAATATGGTCCCTAGCTATATGAAGTGCAGATTGATTGTCACAGTAGACATCAATTGGTTGAGGAAAAGGAACAGTCAACTCTCCAAATAGTCTGCTCAACCAAACCAACTCTCCTACAACTTTCCTAAGTGACATGTACTCTGCCTTTGCAGATGATAATGAAACAGTTTCTTATTTCTTGGACTTCCAGCTAACAGGACTGTGGCCTAGCAAGACAATGTAATTACTGACAGGTTTTCTAGAATCTGGACACGATGCCTAATCAGAATCACAATAGGCTCTCACAGTGTAGTCCTCATCTTTGGAAAAAAATATCCCCAATGTTGGATCAGTTCTTAGATATCTGAGCAAGTGAAAGGTTGCCTTAAGGTGTGGTTCTCTGGGGTCTTGCATGAATTGACTCAGGTGTTGGACTCCACAAGAAATGCCTAGTCTGGTGTTGGTTAAGAAATTAAGCTTCCCCACCAGCTTTCTGTAGTAAGTAGGATCTTGTAATGTGGCACCCTCCTTGGCTTTCAACTTGACAGTAGGGTCCAATGGAGAAGAGAAACCACTCTGAGATAAACAATCATACTCCTTTAATAGATCTAGTGCAAATTTTCTTTGTGATATTACCACCCCATCTGCCTTATACAATACTTCCACTCCCAGGAAGTAGTGCATCTTACCAAGGTCCTTAATTTTGAAACTGGCATGAAGAAAACACTTCAGTCTCTCCAATTCTACTACATCAGTGCCTGTGACAACTATGTCATCTACATAAATTGTCACATAAATTGCATTAGTGCCTTCTTTCTTATAGAATAGTGAATAATCAAGCATAGAATGTGCATAACCTCTGGAGCACAATGCTTCACTCAGCTTGGCATACCACTGCCTGCTTACCTATTTGAGGCCATATAAGGACTTGTTTAACTTGCAGACCAGTCTTGGCTTAGTGACCTCCAATCTTGGAGAAATCTCCATATATACTTATTCATGAAGATCACATGAAGGAATGCATTGTTGAAATCAAGCTGGGACAAGAACCATCCTTTCTTAACTACAGTTGCAATCAAAGCTCTGACTGTGGTCATCTTTACCACAGGGGAGAATATTCTGTGTAGTCAATTCCAACTTGATGTGTGTATCCTTTCACAACTAGCCTTGCTTTGAACCTTTCAACACTTCCATCTGCCTTGTGTTTTATTTTGTATACCCATTTGCATCCTATAGCTTTCTTGCTAGGTGGCAAAGACACTAGGTCCCATGTGTGACTGTTGTGTAAAGCATCAAATTCCTGAGTCATTGCTTTCTGCCAGGCAAGATTGATAGCAGCTTCCTCATATGAAATTTGCTCCCTGTCATGAGAAATGTTTCTCACAAGAGCTTGACTATCATGGGTTAGTGATTCAGCAGATATGGAAGTGTGATTGGAGAATAATGCATTAAGTGAAAAAGAGTTAGCAGGGCATGTAGGTGTAACATCCTTTGGCTTTAGGTTTGGAATGCAATGAATGTAGTCTTTCAAGTGTGCAGGTGTTTTATGTTCTCTAAGAGACTTTCTAGGGCTAGCATGTGGTGTAGGTGGTGCAGGACTATTGGGAGTAGAATCACCTTCTGTAGGGAAATAATTATCCATTGATGGGGAGATGCTGTGTATAGGAAACTGGTTATGTGAGGCTGTGATAGGAGAGGAATGATCTGAGGGCATTGCAAGCTGTGTGACACTTGACCTGTGCTGGGCAGTGTGTTGTTCTGTCTCCACTCCCAAATGATCAATAAAAGGAATACAATTGAGGCCTGATGGAAAGGATGCAGTGTCATTATGCATGGCAAAAGGAAAAACAGACTCATTGAAGGTGACATCTGGAAATGTGTATTTTTCTGGTGGCCAAATTCAAGACCTTGTAACCTTTTGTGTTGAAGGGATAACCAACAAAAACATGAGGGGTAGTTCTTGGTTCAAGCTTGTCTCTGTGAGGTTTAGGTACTGTAGGGTAGCACAAATATCCAAATTTCTCATTTGTGAATATTTAGTCTTCCTTTTGTATAGAAGTTCATAAGGACATTTGTTGTACAGGCTGCTATAAGGGAGTTTATTTATGATGTAGGTTGAAAATAGAATACACTCACCCCAGTACCTAGTTGGCAATTTTTATTGGAACAGAAGAGCCTTGGCAGACTCTAGTAGGTATTTATGTTTCCTTTCTACTATGCCATTTTGCTGGGGTGTATAGGGACAAGTTCTTTGGTGTATTATACACTTCAATTGGAAAAAGAGACTGGCTTCTGTATTGGTGAACTCCAGGCCATTTCTGATCTAATGGCTTTGATTCTAGTGTTGAATTGGTTTTCTGTCAAGGCCACAAAGGCTTTAATAGTTTGAAGGGCATTGCTTTTACATGATAGAAGGTGAATCCAGGTGGATCTACTGTAGTCATCCACTATGGTAATGAAGTACCTATAGTTGTCATGTGTTGTAACATGGTAAGGTCCCCACAGGTCAACATACAATAATTCAAATGTTTTGGTGGTAATGCTAGTCTTCTGGGGAAAAGGAAGTCTTTCTTGTATGGCCATGGGGCAAATAGAACAAAGGAAAGGTTGTTTGGATGAAAAACTGGAAGGCATTGAGGTAATGTTTCTCATTTTGACTAAAGGCACATGGCCAAGTCTATTATGCCATAGAACATTCATATCATTTCTAATAGGTTCATGAGAACTCAGAGTAAAAGACTGTTCTTTATTGCTCGCAGATGAACTATTTACAATTGAAAAAGGAACACACTTATTCATGAGTAATGACTTATCTACATTGTTGTGAAGGTGACATTGTATGTTGCAAGCACAACAATAACCTGACAAAAGAGGAACATTGACTGTAGGACTGTACTGTTTGTTTTGCAAGACTTTTTTACATAGGAAGTATAAGCCATCCATGGCTTTACCAATCACCAGAAGCCTCTTCATTGAAGGGGCCAGCAGCAGATATGAATTGTTAGAGAAAGCAACTTGATGTTCAGGTTCTGTTAGAGAATGAACAGAAATCAAATTGTTATTTGCAAAAAGGTATAAATAACACCTTTTTTTCCAGGATGATTTAAGGTATATGTGTCACACTGCCAATTTGTGTTACCCTTACTATATATCCATTTGGGAGAATGACAAGAAGAGGGTATGGCAAGGTTATAATTTTGTTCAATAAGGATTTGTTGAAGGTCATATGATTTGGAGCTCCGGAATCTAATATCCATGAGTCGGATCTATTTTTGAAACAATTACATGACAGTTTACTAAAATCAGTAGAAGATGTACATGCAACAATACCTGCAAAGTTGGCAGCTGCACATGCTAAATTCACATTGCTGGTACTCTCTCCTTCATTTCCTATCTAGAAGTGCTGTAGCGGGCTCATGATCTGCCCATACTGCTTCTGAGTCAAAATAACACTTTGGTTATCCTTTTGTGCATCAGATTCATCATGTGATGGCATATTCACTTGAGGTCCATGTACATTTGCAACTGTCCTGTTCACCCTGTTAAAACCATTGTTGGGCTTGAAATTTTGATTTGAATTGTGCGGGCTAAAGTTATTGTTTCCCTTGAAGTTTTGACCAGAACCCTGAGGGTATCCATGTAGTTTGTAGCATTTATCCTTGGTGTGTCCCGGCTTCTTACAATACTCACACATTGGCCTTGACTTGTTTGCACCATTATAGTTGTTGCTGGGGGAGTAATTGGTCCTGTAACTGTTTTGCTTTAAGGTGTACACATTCAGGAAAGTTGATTCTAAGGCAAGCTGATTACTATGTCTAATTTCCCTCTGTTTCTCATCTTGGACTAACAAGGAGAAAGCATGTGCCATTGAAGGTAATGGATTCACCACTAAAATGCTGCCTCGCACCACAGTGTAGACCTCATTAAGCCCCATAAAAAAATGTATTAGTCGCATATCCCGTTCTGCCTTGTGCATACTCTCTTTTGCTCCACAGGTGCAATGACAAGTACATTGATTTTTAGCACTTAGGTTTCTCCGTTCTTACCACAGCTTCTTCATCTTAGTGTAATACCCTGTAATATCAAGGGACCCTTGGGAAAGATCATTGATCTTCTTCTGAATCTGGTATAGTTTTACACCATTGGTCTGGTCATATCGGTTTTCTAATTCCTTCCACAATACTGTTGTATCATTTACATATTCGACGCTATCTGTAATTTCCTTACATAATGAGTTCAAAATCCATGATGTTACCATATCGTCACATCTCTCCCACAGTTGAAGCTTTTGAGAATCTGGATCTGGTCTCTTACATTCCCTATTGATGAAACCTACTTTGTTTTCCACAGAAAGGGCACGCAACACACTCCTCCTCCATGATCTGTAGCCAACACCATTAAAAGGAACTGATACTAACATTGTGCCGGGATTATCTGAGGGATGCATGTAGAAAGGACTACTCAGATCCACACCGGACTTACCACCATCAGCCGGCAAATTGGCTTCTAAATCACTACAACGTTCATTCTCATCTAGAATTGCCATGACTGAATCAATTAAGCTAAAGTATCGAAGAACAAAAAAGTAGTAATTTGCAATTGAGATTTGCAATCGAAAAAAAATGTTAATCGTAAAGACGAATCCCAAAAATGACTCGAATTTAGGTTTGCATATGTCGAATGAAACCAGCAAATTGGTCGATCTAGAACAGGAACACAATTATTGGAGATGAAATTCCCATTAGCTCTGATACCATAATAATTTTGGATGTCCAACTGAAAATGAGTTTGAGCTAAGCTCCAATGGAGATTCGATGGAAGCTTTTGGAAGTAGCAGTCGTGTGAGGGAGAAGAAATGATGAGAGGAAGAAGAAAGAAATGGGAAAAAAATCTCAATCTAAAATCTTATATTAGAGAGTTATATACAAACTAACAAGGAAAATAATACAACTACTACATTTGGCAACTAACTACCATACAGTTGGCATATAACTACCATACAGCTGGCAACTAACAAACTTAACAAACTACCAATTAACAACTAATAATTATATGTGTCTTAACATCTACATCATACTCCTTTAATAGATAATTAACAATCTGTGGCTCCAATACGGATATCAGACATCGGATAAAAAAACCAAAAAAAAAACTTATAACCTAGTCAGGCTCCAATACGGATATCAAAAATCGGGTGAAAATCTAAAAAAAATAATAATCTAATAACCTAGTCGGGACCCAATACGGATATCAAGGAATAAATAAGCAAACTTTCTGGCAAATGAAGGTTATAGACATGAAGAGGATTTGCTAGTATGGGAAGGGGCGATAACAGATATATAGAGTTTTTACACTTGACAGATTTAAACAATATAGCTTATGAATAATTTTATTATTTCAATTTTAGTATTTTTCAATGTACCCAAAAAGCGAATGACAGTCCAGTACTCTTTTTTTTTTATTAGCAGGGATCTATTATATAAATATCACAAAATATAGTTTACATAGTTAGCATTGTCCAAAGGGACATTACCTACTTGGCTATTACAGAAACTACTAATGTCATGTAGGACATTTTTATTTCCAAACGATGCAAGCTTAGTGCATGCATCTTTGCTAATGTTCTTAACTAGGTAGACAGAACCTTCATAGTCGTAAGATATGACAGCGATTACAAAAGATGGTGGATAGTACATAATTGCAAGATCCCTGCCATTGTTTCCCTGGATAGCATTTTTAGCCAGCTTGTGTACCGACTTGTTGGCCTCTCTGAAGTTGTGCTGGATTGTTTGAACTTTCACATGGTTCATCAATGGCCTGCATTCATGAATAATGTTGTTAAGGGGGTGTGTAACCATTTTCTAAGCAGCTAATGACATCCGTAGAATCTGATTCCACTTCTATGTTTGTGAAACCTTGTTCAATTGCAAGATGTAGGCATGTCCTTAGTGCCATCAGTTCAGCATACAAAGGAGATAGACCTGGTAGAGACCCTTGGAATCCAACCACCAATTTACCTTGTTGTCCTGAACAGACCCCCAAAGCCACAAAGAGAAATTTCTTTTTTAAAGGAACATCGATATTAAGTTTAATATGG